TTCTTGAAGTGACGTGGACTTTCGGAACAAGGAAAAAGTGTGGTGATTGAGAGGTTAGGTTTCAATACATTCAATAACTGTGTAAAAAATTAATGAAAACAAATAATAATTATAACTCTATTCTAATTAATTATGCGAACCAACTATTAATAATTGCAAAAACACTTTAACATGAAAGTTAATCACGAGTATAATTAATAAGATAAATTATTTAAAATTTTAAGGATCAACATGTAATTTTTAATAATATTACTGTGTATACCGAAGTAGTATTTAATATTAAAAAATATTGTGTAATACCAGACAAGGATTTTCTTCTGTTGAACCATTTTTTCCATGAAAAGGTAGTGAACAAATATAAGTATCTTTAGTAACATTATCCATCAATCGATCGAAAACCTTTGTCACTTCGACCACATTTTTTCAGTCATACCTAATCATCATTTTGAATATATTTTAATATGTATTTTGCCTAATGATTTGATAATTTTTTTATAACTGCAGGCAAGTTTTTTTATAAAATAATAATTTATACCGTGTGTCACTTTTACATATTCATGTTTAGTTTTTCCTTTCCGTATAGATAATTAATTGATTGCAAAAATTGATTTTTCAATTAAGACACTTATTACTTTACTTTTTTTAATCCATTTTTTAAACGAATACACTTAAAATTAATATTTATCGATTATAATTTTTTTCACGTGGACATTTTAACATGCTTGTTTACAAAAAACAGTACGAAAAAGATGGCTGATACTGACGCATGCGCACAAAAAAAAATTGTGATGAAAAGGCCTATAGAAAAGAATCGCTTAATAGAAAAGAATCTATTAATCGAAAATATTATATTAATCAATAATTATCAATTAACCGAAAATAATCAGTTAAGCGAAAATAATAGATTAATCGAAAATAATCGATTAATTGAAAATAATCGATTAATTGAAAAGAATCGATTAATCGAAAAGAATCAAAAAGATTTGAAAACAATGGACAAGAATCGATTAATCGATCTACTGGAAAAAACGATTAATCGAAAGAAATCAATTGTTCAATAAGAATCGACGTTGAGTTAAAGACTCCCAATTAGAGTGACCTTGATCAAGCACAGCGACTAATCGATGAACCACGCAAAGTAACAAAGTAAACGGTTGTGAAGTAATCTACGTGCGATGCACAAAATGATGCTAAAAATAACGTGGTATCAAGCAGGCACACTGTTTCACGGATCTATTGACCTCTCTAACTACAGTCATTCTTGGAAACCTCTTGCGTTCAATCAACATATTGAACCGACAGACTCGATCAGTCAAAGCACAGTGGGGTACCAAAAAACGTAGAGATTAACACGTACGAAAATACGAAAATAATACAGGTATTTTTTTTATTTGGTGTCATCGGCATCGACTACTAAGGCCATTAGCCTCGTGTTCGGTGTAGGCTTTGTTACTGTTTCCCAGCGCCACTTTAGGAACAGCACTGTTAATTAGAACCCAACAGTGAATGGTCGAGTGGGGAATCCTACCAAGGCATCAGAATTAATTTAATTATTTAAAATTAATTCTGATGCCTTGGTAGAATTCCCCACTCGACCATTCACTGTTGGGTTCTATTTAACAGTGCGTATTAATTTGAGTTTATATTTTTATGTTTTTTATGTGATTTTAAAATAAACCACCCCAGATGTCTACTAATCTCGTTGAATTCAGGCCAAATATATGTTTAACATTGTTGATTTTTTAAAAAGCTTCTACTACATAATAAAGCTCTAGATTTGGAACTGCTATTATCTTCATGTGTGACAGAAAAAGAAGATATTTTTTATTGACTACATTCCTAAAATAGTACAGTACATAATTAAATATAAAAGTAAGTACAACTAAGAAAATCGCGAGGTACAAAATTTTTGAGGGTCATTGTTTTGGTCATAAACGTTGCATATTTTTAAGTTTTCTGCTACAATATTGTTCATTTCATTCTTTTTGTTTATATTCAGTTACCTTTTAAGTTTCTTCTAATATGTTTCCTATGATCTCAAAAATTCTTGTTATTCCTTTAACTGTTCGTATATGTTATATTTATATTTACCTCGACATTTACAATAGTTATATCCATGTATTTTTAACCGACTTCAAAAAAGGGGAGGAGGTTCTCAATTCGTCGTAATAATTTTTTTGTTCAGCGATAATTCTTTAACACGGTGTCCGATTTCAATGATTTTTAGAAAGGGGACATTTCAGGGGTGGTTCCATATTAATTTGGTCAAAATCTAATAATTAGGTCCGTTAGAACATCCTCAAACTCTTCATTTTTAATGTATGTTTAGCTGTAATTCTTTACCACCTTTTCCGATTTCTATGATTCTTTTTTTGTTAGTAAGGGGGTACCTTAGGGGTGGTTCCATTGAAATTTGTTTAAAATGTAATGATGGGGTCTATGACAAAATCATCAAACTCTTCATTTTTTATCTATTTTTAGCGTAATCTTTATCACGTTGTCCGATTTCTATGATTCTTTTTTTGTTAGAAAAGGGATACCTCAGAGGTAGCTCCATATACAATTGGTCAGGATCTGATGATCTATGAGAAAATCAAAAATCTCAATTTTTAAGGGCATCTGTACGTTTTTGAAGTTGATTTTTTAATTAAAAAATTATTTTCATCCTTGCTTTTTTATTTGTCTCAGTCCTTCCTATTAGTGCTTCTAATAGGAGTATGTCAAAATTAGTACCGATTATTTAATGACAGTTTCTTAAATTTATCAATTCTTCCTACGTTCTACTCATATTGCATTATACGTGACAGCCCATTATCTCTAGTCACCTGTGTGTTGCATTAAAATTCTTTAAACTTATTCTGTACATTGCGTCTAAGAGTTTCTCTTATTGGATGTTTTTTTTATAATGTGATTAGGAATTTTAGAATTTATATCTCATCTATGAAGTATTCATTGAATTATTATTTAATAATGAGTATTGTTTCTTAACACTCGCGGAACTTCCTGCAATCTCCTTTTATACTCGAAATTAGGGTCGCTTTTAATTCATGTAAGGATCTTGTACCTATATTAAGTCTTTTAATATGCCCTTTAAGCATGCCCCTTACTTGTTCGGGGGTCCTAACAGCATAGTTTATTTTTCAAATTTCTGCGTCGGATAAGTATATTTTTAAACGATGTTGACTACGTATGCATGTTTTTTTTCATATATAAAGGCAACCCTTTCAATGAAGGATGCAGTCAGCCGAACAATCAGCTTTAATTCGTTGATTAATCTCAACAAGGACCATCTTTTGAACTTATGTCAACTATTACCTACATAATAATTGAACATCCACCAATATTTATCCTTTCAATCATGGTATATTGAACAAAACGTTAGTGTTACCTTTTTTACACCGACTTCCGTCCGTCGTCAGTCTTTTAAATATGAATAGGTAGTGTCTGATCGCTGAATAATACAGAATATTCAATAATACCGTTTTCCATGAGATCTGGTAAAACAAGAACTCATGGAAATTGTCTTTTTTTAGTGACTTTGATGACAATTTATTTGGTCATTTTGGTCATGTGAGATATCAGTACCTATTGTTGAGGTCTCTCTATAACACTCCATTATATTTTAATTTATTCGCAAGTGATTTAGAGGAAATTGTCTTCCTTTCGCTATACAACATGAAATTAGCAAAGGAACTGTGACTACGTGTCTGGCATCTATACCTATTTTGCTAGCCTTTTTCTGATTATTGTACTGCTTACATTATTTGTTACACTAGCATGTTGCAGCTAATTTCAAGCTCAGTTTCAGTTGTGGATCGGTTATGCAAGGTTGCGAATGAGCTGAAAATATCACCTTATGTCTACCGAGTCTTCAATTCAAAAAAATTAGCAATTCATTTATCCATGAGCGTAAATTTGTGGATACTGCGTTATTGCTGCAATTACAACTTCTTTTCGACCTTCTAGTATCAGTAATTTATATATACTACCTTACGTTTTGCAAGGAAATTCATATTTCACCAATTCATTGGATATCTTACTTTAATATAAGCATTATTATTATACCTCTTCTTCAATCGTTTTCTCAAAACATAGGTATATATTTATTCTTCTAGTTGATATTTACAGTTTTTTAAATTCCGTAAGTTAATATGTCTTGAACATAATAATTAATTGTAATATATTTATTTTTAGTCTCTTTAATAAGTATTCTGTTAAAGTAGAAGAAATCTAAATTAACTATTTTATTTACGTTTTGCAAGGAAATTCATATTTCACCAATTCATTGGATAGTTTACTTTAATATAAGCATTATTATTATACCTCTTCTTCAATCGTTTTCTCAAAACATAGGTATATATTTATTCTTCTAGTTGATATTTACAGTTTTTTAAATTCCGTAAGTTAATATGTCTTGAACATAATAATTAATTGTAATATAGTTATTTTTAGTCTCTAATAAGTATTCTGTTAAAGTAGAAGAAATCTAAATTAACTATTTTATTTACGTTTTGCAAGGAAATTCATATTTCACCAATTCATTGGATAGCTTACTTTAATATAAGCATTATTATTATACCTCTTCTTCAATCGTTTTCTCAAAAATTCATATTTCACCAATTCATTGGATAGCTTACTTTAATATAAGCATTATTATTATACCTCTTCTTCAATCGTTTTCTCACAACAGGTATATATTTATTCTTCTAGTTGATATTTAGTTTTTTAAATTCTGTAAGTTAATATGTCTTGAACATAATAATTAATTGTAATAGATTTATTTTTAGTCTCTTTATAATAAGTATTCTGTTTTATTTTCGTCGAATACTCATTCTATTTAACTGTGAACATGTATCCACCAATATGCGGTGATTTAGTAGGCGTAACATTTGATGAATAATTATTTTTTAATAATTTCCCCAATATTTTTATAGTCAAAACATTTTTATACACAAAATCGTGAAGGACTAGAGAATTACCAATTATTAGGTATATCTTACCTCTGCAAATTTCTTCTCAGATTCGTCAAACATAAGATTGGAATTACAGCCCGTGATACATCCCTCGCCGTTCTTTCTAACTTCACAGTCGAATTTCTGCACAGCTGGATCGACAGGAGCTCTGATATCAATTTCATCTTTCGGTCCCTCGATGCACATGTGTTCATGGTTATTAACCTCAGGAAATCTGGAGCAGTTTAGTGCGTCCGGCCACGGAAATCCGAACCCCTGTAAAACAGGGTAGCACCGAGATCTAACACCCTCGCAAAGTCCTCGACAGGGTCCAATGGGATTAGTAACTTTCTCTGTACACATTGGCACGTAAACGGAACACAAAAAAAGTTTCAAATTTTGGCTACAACCGTACTGAATCAGAGGCGAAAACGACTGCAGTTGTAAATCGGCCTCTTGTTGAATGTCATTACCTCCCAAATTGGGCATACTTGTTGAATTGTACCACATCATACACATTTCCACTCGGATCGGTTCACAATTCCGCATCAGGGGCTCGGAAATTGAGACACCCCAGAAGAAACCGAACAACAACAACAAAAACATTGTTTTTGAGGTTATGTTTAATTCGCGCGCGTATCAACTCGCTCTTAAAACGATCTCCGACAGAGTAACTTCAACTTCTCGGTTCTTCGACTAGGTAGGTAGACGAACGCGGTTTGGAATGTTGTTATGCCGAGATAATGCCGGAGTTGACCGAGTAGGGCCGATTATTCAAATTAAGCTTTACAGGCTCCATAAGATTGTTCAAAAAAACCAAACAAGCTATTTTAGGCAGGTTAGTTAGTGGATGGAGCGCGTTCGCGGGGGGAGGAAGGGGATGTTTGTCAGTATGATTAATTGTCTGACAAAATTGCTTCGCTTGACAGAATACAATTAAATTTGATTGAGAAATGGTGGATTGTATACCTATAAAGTCATTAAGCTACCTGTTGAGTTTATATTTTCGGAACTTTACGACTAGCTGTGTGATGATAGGTAAATAAACCGATATGTTTATCATAATAATAATCATAATGGAGCGATTGATTAACTGCTTTTCAAATAGCTCACAATAATCAATACATTAAATAGTTAAACAAAAAGCTTATTATCAACAATTTCGTCAATTTAATAAATTTTGCTTGCTCTTACATTTAAATAAAAAGAAATTATATGTGAACTTATACTTTTCGTCTGAATACGAAATACACCAAGATTTTAACAGCATAAAGTTTTGTGATTTTAAAATTAGTTCTCAATATTGTTGTAAGGTTTAGAATTATTTTTCTACTACCATTTTGATTTTCTTCTCTAGTCCAGATATTTTAGCTCTTTATAAGAACATCTGAAATTATGCTACATTTATTTGTTCTGCTTTATTTTTAATATTTTTTCGTCATACGTTTAATTCACAACTGCTAATAATTTTAAAATGTTTGCTTTCTTCTGTTGTGATCCATTTATTTTGTATGCTCACTATCTTTTTTCCCATATTCCTCGATTATTTTATTATTTTATTCTTTTACCTATTTGTTGAATTTTTTTTTCCACTTTTTCTTCGTTGACTTTGTTTAATAAGGTATCTATATTTCACTCGGTCAATAAATTATGTTCTTTTTTGAGATTCCATAGATACTTACCGTCTAATTTATAATAGTAGTTTATGTTACAAGGACGAAAAGTTGAGTTTTTTGGGCGACTACGAGAAGCTTGCTAAGCGAGACGTAGTCAAGTGAGTTATGACCATTACCGCAAGTTGAATACCGTACTTTATCTACGACTAAAACAATAAATACTAAAAGCACATTTTCTGTAAACGAGTTAACGTTCTTATTGCTACACCAATCTTGAAAATTTTTTCATACATCTTTATACTTGTTTTTTCATTTTTCTGGTAATAAATGCATTATTAGCTACTTCTCTTATTTCTGGAGGTGTATATAATAACTTATCTTCACTATCTAAATTCATTTTTTTTAGCACTATTATTTGAAATTGATTTGAAAATTATCTTGTTAAAATATCAAATGACATTAATTCCTCAATGATAATTCGAGAGACGCTAAAATGGTGGTTCCCACCTTATCGAGACTGAGGCCAACAAGGGCAAACTCGTAGCGTAACAAAAAAGAGAAATGATTTAACTTGGAACGAAAGACCGAAAGCCGATGAATTTTTTGGTTTGTGAAGCATTGGCATTAATTAGGTTAAACCATGTGATGATTTTCACAAGCCTTGATTTTTAAAACCATTCTATATCGCCTTTTAATTAGGGTTTAAAAACTTGTTTGAGCAATTTATCCAATAATAATTGGACCCTTTACCTCTTAAGCCTGCTCATGTAAAATATTTGGGCTTCTTACTTCGCCCATTTATATAATATTAATAAAGGACAGAAGGATGAGTATTGCAACTATGTTAAAAAAATAAATTGGCTTTCAGTTCAGAATTATGTTCAGTACATGACTGATATTTAGTTATAAAATAAAAATGACATAGTAGCACCGCATCAGATCTATTAGAAAAAATTTAATATAATTCGCAATATCACAACTATAATACAAGAATCCAATCTGACTTTCATGTACGGCAAGCCATCACTAAAAGTTCCCAAAATACAATTTCTATTAAAGGTTTAAAAAATTTAATAGACTGCCTACAAAAATTAAAAAAAAAAAATAATAAATGTATTCAAAAGTAACCTCAAACAATACTTGATAAATAAACAGAACAGATATACTTTCTTGTGATATTACTCTTTAAGCCTGCCCTTTTTAAGTATTTCCCTTAATTTATTGTTATTTTACCCCTCGCTTTACCCGCATTTATTATAATTTTTTTTTGTTTTGAGATCATGTACTTTATTTAAAAAAATTACTTGATGTTATATTAATACTACTTAATATGTTTAAATTATTAATAGTTTTGCGACGATAGGTTATAGCAACTTAAAGCCACAAATCTATTTTTGTGTTAAAGCAGATCCATAGAAAGCAATGTAATTTACAAAGGCCTCCCTTCAACATACAAATAAATGACAACTTTATTATTAAAATAAAAAACAACAAAATACCTCGGTACCAAGGTTAGAAGAAGATTCATTTTTAAATTTTATTTATTGAGGAAATTTATGACTAGAATTTTACTGATTATTATTTACAATTTGCTGGTTGAATATGTAATCCAAAATCGTATAATAAAAATTTTCTACAAAAAACCAGCATTATATCCTACCTCTCTTTTATATAATAAAAAAGTGCTTTGTATGAGAACATTATATTATCTGTCTTGCTGTACCTTTATTTATGGAAAGTCTGAATTGAGATACACTACAAATTATTTGCAATAAATATCCAAAGAAGTATACATTTTTAAATAATTTGACATTTAAGAGCCATTCATACATAACAGTTAACATCTTGATACTTGACAGGCACAGCCAAGCATTATTCTGATTTTTACCAAATAAAATGGCCGGTTAATTATTCTATGGGATTGCGACAGAGAGCCAGTAAAATTGATGAAGGTGTTTTTGTGGCTAGGGGCGAAATAGTAGTACGCTTAAGTTAGCACCACCATAAAAAAGTCATTTTTAAGAAATTGCTTATATATTTTTCATAAATTGGCAGGCTTGGCTACTAATTTCGAATAAAAATAGCCTCCAAAATAACTATGGTTGCAAGTATGAAGGTCGAACCCACCTTAGAAATTTCACCTTCACTATCAACAGCTGTTGTTTGACAGGTTGTTAGAGAATGTTTGCAATTTATGGAATTTTAAGAATGTTAGGAATGTTGACGTTAGAAATAATTGGAATTCCTAAAATTGTCACATAAGAAATGCATATGCAAATTTTAAGAAAATTGATATTAAAGTAGTTAGGATGAACCGAAAATTCTAAACATCAATAGGGTTCTAAGTTACAAGTAATTATTCAAGAAAATCAAAACCGCAAGTCAATAAGAACTTTCGTTCTAGAGTTATTGTGCCGGCATACATACACACAGACGACCAGACGAATTTTTTTTTACATTTTTGTCTGCGCGAATGCAATACTGAGGCCCTATAGGAAGGGCCTCAGTAATAATTGACTTTTCCGCCTACGGCAATTTCATAATTTTATAATCTTTTAAATATTTATTCCTTTCCAGTTGTTAAAAAATGTTTCTAAAATTTTACGCTAATAGAACGTATTTATCGGCTTTAAAATTTCCAAGTATTTACTGCGCACACTATTTACATACCGAATTATCGTAGGAGCCCAGCGTGAGTTATAATAACTCACTATTAAAACTATTTGTTTATTGATACTATTAATTGTTCAAAAGCAGTTAAATAATTAATATATAAATTATTAGGAGTAGATAAAATTAATTTATTTACCTAGTTTATTAAACATCAGTGTCAAAAAAAAATTACAAAAATGAGTAGTGACGAAGAATTCATTACGAGCACGCCCCCAGAAATTAGAGACGCGGCAAATTTGGTGTTTTTAAATTTGATTCAAAAAAAAAAAATCAAAAATGAAAGAACCTACCTCAGATTTGAAAATTCTAATCGGTATGCAACACTGTATACACTTAACTTTAGAGACCATGGCCGATAAAGTACTTTATAAAATAAATAAAAAAGTTCTACTTTTCGACTATGTATTCTGTCCGAAAAACGACGTTTTGTGACACATTCGAATATAATAGTTATTTATGCAACAAGTGCAAAAAGTTAGTGTTCATTGCACGAGTTGCATACAATAGTTGTTCTACGTTCATGCAAAAACTAAAAAAATGTTTTATTTAGGCGACACTAAGTGCAGATGAATAAAAAGCGTAATTTAATAGCAAAATATTTAATATTTAATAATTAGCATCGATTAACATTGAAAAAGTACTATAACTATGTTAAGAAAAATACATTTTTTATTAATTTATTTATTAAATGATTGAGAATAATATAAAATAAGCAATTGTTTTTAAAACGTAATACAATCTCACAGAAAATGAAAATGGACTAAATATTTGGCGTCGATTTGAATATTTATGTTTGTCATGATCATAAAACGCTGTAGTAAAATAACAGATAAGTGCAATAATATTTTTATTGCACTAGTGCATTAAAGAACCAGTTTTTTCACTAAATATAGTTTTTAATAAAGTTTTGTTTTTTGCATGAACGTGGAAAAAAGATATTTAAACGTAAGTGTGAGATACATACGAGTAAATTTTAAAAAATCATTATTATTTATTTCACAGATTGTAATATAATTATTATTTTAATTTTGGAAACTCACCAGAAAAATATTAATCAATATTAAATATGATATTGACATGAGGAAATATAACCTCATTTATTTGAATTTTACTGATTACAGACAAGGAAAGAGAGAGGACGCGTAACAAATATATCGATAACTTTTAGCATTCTGTGACGATTATCGATTGGCCGCCATTATTTTGGTTCTAAGTATTTCGGCGACACCACAGCTTTTTACTCGTGTTTACTTGTTATTTTTGAATTAAACGACATTTGATAATTAGTTTGTTACAATAGTTTATTGTGTTGCATATCAATGTAAATCTCGGTATTTTATGTATTTTCTCATATTTTTACTTTCCTATCTGTATACAGATGTAAGGAAAGTATAGGAAT